ATATTAGTTAAAAAGTAATATAATTATACATATATATATATTATATACATATACGTATTATTATAGCTATTTTTGTAACATCGGCTGTTCTGGTTTTGGCTTCGCCTCGACCTCAAACAGCTACGATTCGTCCTAAAAAACATGATTTTTAGGTACATGTTGCAAACAACATTTTTTTGTTCTAGGTCCATATATTTAATTTTTTAAATAGAGTAAATACCTATTTCTCGAAATTAAGGTTATTGACAGTGACAATGAGTCACTGTCAGTGACAGTTATCGAATTTTATTTTTAATTGTTGTATTGCAATGGTTCAAGAACCATTTTGCAAAAGTTTCCATAGCAACTTTTTCGTACTAGTACAAAAAAAGAATTATTTTACGGACTCAAATGAGTTCGTTAAATAGCTATTTTAGGGGAAAAAACAAAAACATATATATGTTTTATTTATTGATAATTATATAATTATCAATAAATAAAAGTTTTTAAAACCAATAATATATTAAAACGTATATACTTTATAAAACGTTTAAAAAAATAATAAATAGGTAACATAAAAATAAATAAATAATATTTATTATTATACCTAATCTAAAAGTTATAACAATTAAAAAACAGGTACAATAATTATAATAGGTATAATACAACCATCTGAAAACCACTGCGCATGCGTACGGCGTCTGTTACTTAGTGCGCATAGATACGATCACCTACGCATAGCCGATTTCTTCCCGAGAAAGGTGAACAACTCGAATTTTTGCACTATAACTTAAGGACTTCGTTATCTTATATTCGCTTAAATCATGAAGTTTATTCCTTAATCTATTTTTAAATTATTTCTAAAATAATTGTTTGTTACTTGTAAAAGAATATATATTTTTTTTATAATAAACATTTTAAAAAATATTTTATTTTTAATTTAAAAAATCCGGCCACAATCCGGCCGTTGTTGCCGGATCAGTTTAAAAATTTGGCCGGAGCCGGATATGCTGCCGCATAGGCCGGATCGGCCGGAGGCAGTAGGTGAGCAGTAACTCCGGTGCATCCCTACTTTTTAATTTATAAATATATACCGTGTATTGGACAAATGATTGTATCAAATCATTTGTTTTTGTAAGCTGATATTTAAAGTAATTGATTTGAACTTTTTTAGGTCTTATAAATATATGTTAATCTAAGTTTTGTTTTACTGGTTTTGTTTTTGTAAAACGTTTTTTTTTCTCTTAATAAAAATTAAATATGTTAAATTACCATTAATACCTTAAAAACCATAGATTTTTACTAAGTTGAATTAATTTAATTTTTACTGATTAGTTTTAAAACTAAATAACCTAACTTACTTGTCCAAGCAGCTGCTATGTGTGCGGTTTAATTCAATTTTTTATAGCACTAATATAATACGTATTATGCCAGAAGCAAAAAAGTTTCATCTAAAAAATTTGGTAGTAAGGGACAAAATCAGTTTTTATTGTTTTCCATTTTAGTTTGAAGCGATTTCAAGGAATTAATGGTATTATCTAAATTTTTCCGTCTTTGTAGGGTGTCCGGAAAAAGGAGGTCAATCCTTTAACCATATATTCCTTGAGTTAAAACAATAAGACTTTCATAATACCATTTTTCAATTTAGAGCTTCATGTTCGATATACAGGGCGACAAAGTTTGAAATTTAAAAGAGATTTTTTTTAATAATTCGAGTAATTAATAAGGTATTAAGTTAAAATTTGATACACTACTTCAACATAACTAGTTACATCTTTTGAGATCAACAAAACAAAAAACAATTGTCAAATAATCAAAATAAGGGGGGTCCAGTACTCAATGACCCCCCTATCTTTTAGTACGGGCGCCAGTGACTTCCAAATGGTATTTTTTCAGGTAATCATTTAGTGTTAAACATTTTTTGTCTCTTATAAAATTTTGATGAAATGATTTGTTTTAGAGATAATTTGTAAAGTATTGGTCCTTGATTGATGCCCACGCGGCTTATGGCAATCTCATAATTTTCAAATGTAGTACTGGACCACCCTATTTTGATTATTTGACAATTGTTACATCTTTTGAGGACAACAAAACCAAAACCAATTACACTATATCGAACATACAATAAAAAAAATGCAATTTAAAATTTATTAAAATTAGGCGGAGGGAGGGGGTAATTAATATATTGTTTTAATTGCAATTATCAAGACCTTTTTATAGATACCTATCTTGACATGTTAATTTTAAAATATAGAAACTTAATAATTGGGGAGAAGGGAGGGGTAAATAAAATATTTTTTTTAATTGCATTATCAATACCTTTTTATAGATACCCATCTTGCCATGATAATTTTGCAATACAAAATTTTTAAAAATGAGGGGGAGGAAGGGGGTAATTAATAATATTTTTTAAATTGTAATTACTAATACCTTTTTTTAATTACCAATGTGGCCAGGTTAATTTTGCAATATACATTTTTTTAATAGGGGGGTAGGCAGGGGGTTATTTATTTTTTTAATTGAAAATTTTGAGACCTTTTTATAGATATGTAGGTATTCATCTTGACATGTTAATTTTTAAATATAGAAACCTAATAAACTGGGGGGAAGAGAGGGGGTAAATAATATAATTTTTGTAATTGCAATTATCAAGACCTTTTTATAGATACCCATCTTGTTATGTTAATTTTTAAATATAAAATTTATTAAAATTAGGGGAGGGAGGGGTAATTAATATATTTTTTTTAATTGCAATTATCAAGACATTTTTATAGATACCTATCTTAACATATTAATTTTTAAATATAGAAACTTAATAAACTGGGGGGTAGGGAGGGGGTAAATAATATAATTTTTTTAATTGCAATTATCAACACCTTTTTTATAGATACCCATCTTGAAATGTTAATTTTGCAACATAAAATTTTTAAAAATTCGGGGGAGGAAGGGGGTAGGTAATTATTAATATTTTTTAAATTGTTATTATTAAGACATTTTTGTAATTACCAATGTTGTCAGATTAATTTTGCAATATAATTTTTTTTTAATAAGGTGGCAGGCAGGGGGTTATTATTATATATTTTTTAAATTGAAAATTTTAAGACCTTTTTATAGATACCCATCTTGACAAGTTAATTTTAAAATATACAAACTTATTAAATTGGGTGAAAGAGAGGGGGTAAATAATATAATTTTTTTTAATTGCAATTATCAAGACCTTTTTATAGATACCCATCTTGCCATGTTTATTAATTAACAATATAAAAATATCGAAAAATCTATAAAAATGTTTTACTAAAAAGTTAATAATAATCAATAATTATTAATAATAAGTAATTATTAATTACCAATTATTAATAACTTTTAAAAAATTATGTTATTGTTAATTTTAAAATTTCTTTGTTAATTTTTTTTACTTTAAATGTTTAAATTAATGTTCTCTAATAATTATAATTAGTCTAATTAAAAAAGTAAAACTATTTTTAATACATGCCCAACTCTTTATAGTAGCAAAACCAAGCACAAGCGTAAACTTAAAAGTTTTAAGTTAACTCTTAAAAAGATTAAATCCTTACCGATCTCGTTGGGATTTAATCCCAATATGATCTGGTATGATTTAATCACTAAAGTATCAAAACTTTCTATACATCGGAGAATATAACTCGTGAGCAGATCAAAATTATTTTAAGGCGTTTAAATATCGCTCAGATTAAATCTCGCTGCCGTCTCGACTGTTCATCACCAATTGATTCGAACTGGTTTGACCGAATTTAACTCGCTCAGGGATCGAAACTAAAAATGAGTTAAAATACTACTCCTAGTCCCTGGTTCATACGAATACCATCTAGGATATTTTTATTTTTAGAAATATATTCAGGAACGTACTGATCTATGATAGTATAAAGATCTTTGTAAAACATATCACATGCCAAGTTAGCATCATTGCTTTCAAAGTACCAATCATGATTTAAAATAGCATTGTAAAGATCTGGAAAATTACACCTTTTAAAATTGTAAGCCTTGTTATTCGGACAACTGCTAAAGTATTATATATTTATTTGCGTGCTAAAAATAACCACGTGAGTGATAAAAAATTACTTTAATGCCGAGGTGCATATTAAATTTTATCCGAAATCACATTTAATAATACTAATAATTAATATTGATGATTAAATCAAATGTCATTTGAATGTAGGAAGTGTCTACGTATACTGTTTGTTGCGATGGTTATTATATATTTGCCCGCCGCGGAGATTTTTTAATCTAATTAATAAAATTAACTTATTATTTTGATTAAACAACATTTTATGAAAGGGTCCAATCGACCTCCGCGACGGGGCTTTTTTTTTAATATTATTTAGTTGCTGCTGAGGAACAGTAGACACATCTTAAAATGTATAATGGGTTGTATGCTATACTCGTATTAAATCGGCAGTAAAGTTCTACTTTACTGCCGATTGTTAACTACTTTACTGCCAATTTCGGATAAAATATTTTTAAAGAGCGCTAGCGCCAACTCCAACTGAAAGTTTATGGATTGCGCTTTAAGAAACGAAATATGGTATTAAATATTTTTACGTTCACATTTTAATCATAAATTAACCACTAAAATGTAAATATTTTAAAAATTGAAATTATCGTTAGAGATATAGAAAAGTTTTCTAAGAAAACCTCAATTTAATCTGTGCGTTCCTTAATGAGGAATTTTCATTCAATTTTTTACCTAAGGTTTCATAATTTTGTAAACCCAGTTAAAATGATTTAAATTATACCGAGTGTCAAACTTTTAAAACTTCATTTGTTGTGGAAGAAACCCAACATTTTGTTCACCAACCCAATCAAAATTTTTAACAAAATAAGTTTTTGCCGAAACCATTTTCCTGGAAATTAAAATTTTATAAAAATTATACATTTGTTTTCTTACTATGCCAAATATTATTTATCATTATTTTAATAAACCAAACCTTACCTAAGAGAACTTAACTAAACCAAATTTATAAATTATAATTATTTACTTGTAGGTATTATATTGCCACATGCTACAAGCTGTACCTGTGCCGCTTGTTGCGATGACGAGACTGCAACAGGACCAGTTAGACTTTTCACTCCATACAAAAGGAAGCGACGAAAAGAGAGCGATCCATCTAGAAGAACAAATGGAGACGACAGCGACCACCAATCCAAGGAAGAAGTGTGGCAAAGTTTGGCCGACGGCCTTGACTCCACCGATTATCAAATGATGGAACCCATAGCCTCTGCCGACCCATCGTCGCAACTTAAGCGATTGGAAAATATCGGAAATCAAATAAACAGGTTGGCTGTGGAGTTTCGAAGAGGCTTGGAGGAACTCAAGGAAACTTTAAATCGACAGCAAGATAAATTTTTAAGAGAGAAAGAGTCAGCAATTTTGGCTGCTAGGGTTGAAGCTCAAGTAGCTGCTTTACAACCTGAAAGTAATAATGATTCCACACTGCAACCTGCTTTAGACAATGATAATCATAAGAAGGTAATAAAACAAGTATACAAAAGTAAACTTTTAAGTTTTAAACTGTTTGTTTTACCAATCTTTGCTAATTTTAAAATACCATTATTTTGTATGTCAACCCCAAAACGAGTATTTTTAGAGAGGTTAAAAAAATTATTTTTATTTTGTTCTTTCATTGATAATAGTATATTATTATACGAGAGATAATGCAGGATATTATTCACGAAGATGAGACTAGATGAGTAGATAATTAAATGATTTTTAAAAGTAAGTAGTAAGTAAAAGTAATTAAATAAAATCTGACATCTGTCAAATGTTTAACCTTACTTTTTACCAACTAAAAAAAACATTATGAGTATATATGTATGAGTATAAGAGACGTATAACCCGACCCATTGCCTCATCGCTCCCGGGCCCTGCATATGCCTCTGTTTCCTTACGCCGATTTTCTTTCGCCACCAGCAACGGCACGGCTTCACCCGTGTTTGCTGGGCTCGAGAGTGAAATGCCAATAGTTTTAATAGCCATTCCCGGGTTCGCCGGGCCGATGCTATACGCCCAGTAGGGTCACAAAGGAGGTAGGACGGGAGGTATACGTCTCGGCATGGTGTCAACCAATTTTTGACAATCATCCGGCGTAAAATTATTCCAAATTTCTTGCAGGCGAGCACGCAACTCTAAGACGGTTCTTGCGGCCTGTTCTCTGAGCTTCTTTTTCATAATATGCCACAAAGTTTCTATAGGCGAAAGATCTGGACTACTAGATGTCCATTTTAAAAGTGAAATATTATTTTCTATTATCCAAGCTTTCACTTTTTTAGCCGTATGACACGCTGCACCATCTTGTTAAAAGATGCATTCAATATCATTTAAACGCATTTCTTCAATTTGCAGTTTAAAGTTATTTTTTAGGAAGTAAATATATTTATCAGCATTCATAATGCCCTCTACAAAGTGTAATTTACCCCTGTATTATATCGTCTAAACAAAAATTTTAAGTTATTAAAATGATAAAAAACAATTACAACAAATTAATCTTCAAACTAGTAAAAAAATCATGAAGATCGGATGAAAAATAAAAAAAAAACAACAACTTTGTCAAAATTTTGGGGTGGCGGAATTTTGTGCCGGGGAGTGTATACAAGGTGTCCCGTATCGTTATGTTCAAATTTTGAGAGCATAAAGTAGACTTATTTTTAGGAAGAAAACCCGCAAAACTTGTATATCAATTTTTATTTGTGTCAAAGTTACAGGCCTTTGAATTACACAGGTCCACAAAAAAAGTGGTCTGTGCTGGGTGTTCGACAAAGATTTTCCGACGTATTTTTTACCGCTGAAGACGAATCTGAAGTCAAAATTGGGGGTCAAACTGCAAAAAACGGAGAAAAATTAAAATAACCGATATTAGATAATGGATTTTATCGGTTTTTTAATTTTTCTTCGTTTTTTGCAGTTTGACCCCAATTTTGACTTCAGATTCGTGTTCAGCGGTAAAAAATACGTCGGAAAATCTTTGTCGAACACCCAGCACAGACCACTTTTTTTTGTGGACCTGTGTAATTCAAAGGCCTGTAACTTTGAAAAAAATAAAAATTGATATACAAGTTTTGCGGGTTTTCTTCCTGAAAATAAGTCTACTTTATGCTCTCAAAATTTGAACAGGAGAGGCGATTTCGCGCGGCATAGGCGTTTGTGTAGTAACGCTCGAAAATTAATAGCCATGTCAATTTTTTAGTTGACTTAAAATATTGATAATCTCAAAAATCATTTTTTAGACGCCCGGGCGCCCGTCCAAAATTTTATTTTAGAATACGAGGATTCACAAAGGTAATTTGATGCAAACAATGTCAGCAGCGAGGTCAGTAGAAAGTGCGCAAAATTTTCAAAGTTATCGGGTAATAATTTCCAAAATTCTTTCTATGCTTCTTTCTTTTTTTCTCTGAAAATTGCTCCCAGGTTTGATTCGGTTTTAAATTTAATAAATTTATTCAATAATTTTTCGTTGTCAAATCCCTGCACATCGTTTGCTTACTCGCGCCCTGCCACTTGAAATCCCCACCATTTCTCACAAAAACGTATTGAAGGGGCTCGCCTTGTATTAAGAATCGAGTCATATTCCAGAACAAATATTGTCCTTTCCTATCTCACAAGACTGCGTAAGAAAAACTGGTTTGAATTATTAGGGCTCTTTTTTTAATCTAAAAATTACTGTGGCTAGGCTTCGGGCCACAAAAAAAGGGTTGGTGGGCCGCATGCGAGTCCCAGGCCGCAGTTTGAGAGTGGCTGTTATAGATATATGTTTTTCTCATACTTAAAAGACAAATGACAAAAATTGACTAATGTATTTAAATCCAAGCCGAACCAAACAAAACGCCCAGACGCGTGATAACTCGTTCTTATTGATCGATTATGAAGGTTTGACTCGGATTGTGTGTTCTTACTGTTCGATTCGGAGGGTGTCACTCGAATTGTGTTGAATTTGAATAAACATTATATACCTGGGAGCTATATATACCTATAGGTATTATAATGTGTAAAAATTTCCTATTTTTTTACTTATAATAATTGGTACATCAGGTAAATCACACAATGGGCTAAAAATTTTGACAAAACATAGACAAAGTGTTTGTTTTGGTTAGTTTTAGAAAACATGCAGAAAAACGCTATGCGCATGCGGTTCACTTGTAGGTGATCTGATAACCCTTCTTGCGAGTAGGGTCAGCAGATCACTTACTCAATCCCTCACCCCAGTAAGTTTACGAACAAAAGTCGGGGTAGTAAACGAACACCAGGTTCACTTAATTAAAGATCATCCTGCCATCTTTAGGTCAATAGCAGATTTTAAAACTGAACGATGCAGAAAATAGTACATTATAGGCCAGGTGGACAAGGCACAAATTATCGCCGGGCATACATTTCGCTGCCCAGGCAATAGATTGTGTTGTGACAATTAATAAGCTTTCGCCGCCGGGTTTTATATTCTTTTTTTATAAGCATTTAATTAAATAATTTCTTATGATTGTGTCACACAAATTATATTAAATTAAATTTTGTTTTATTTTTTTTAGTGCGCCAATTGTAATAGAGAAGCCTTGGCAGAATGCTCTCTCTGTCGAAGAACGCCATATTGTTCAACGTTTTGTCAGCGCAAAGACTGGGCATCACATCAAGTGGAATGTGTCAGAGGTGTTTCTGAAGCAGGTCAGCAGTCTATTATGCTTATTGTTGAAAGTACAGATCAACAATAATTTATCAAAAATCAACATCAAATTATTTGGGTTGGGTTGACAAACCATACATTTTTAAATTGTAAATAAAAAATATTAAACTAAGTTAGTGTAAAATAATTAAAATTTATTATTTAAAATTGTATTATTCATTCTATTCTACATATATACAGTAGACTGGGCCAAAAAAATCAACTATTTTTTTTAAGTATATCGAAAATATGGTTTGGAGTGGAAAAAAAAATATTGCCAAAGTTTGAGTCCATAATATAAGAGGTTTGTCATCCCAATTTTAATTTTTTTTTCTGAGCGAGTTTTTGTCTGAGAACCAAACCATTAAGTTTAACAAAATTGAATCAGAATTTTTTTTAAGGAAATTAAATTCTCTACAAAAAAGGTTAAATGAAATTTACCGTCAGATGAACAGTTGTCTTAAAATCATGCCCTAAAAATTGGTATAGTTTTACATTTTGATCTTTTAACTTTGGAATTTTGAATGTAAAAATCAGTACCCAGAAAAAATCGATAAATATTCTTATGGGAAATCAAATGCTTTACAATAAAAGTCTCTTAACATTTTTGGCTAAATTCACTCAATCAAAAGTTATTCAAGGTTAAAGTTGAAGTCGAAACGAAATTCTTGTTTTTTCCTATGTGGATTTATTTTTTTATGGATGATAATTTGATTTTTGTCATTATAAATGTGTATTATATAACTAATTAATAAATTTCAATAAAAAAACAACATGATTGTTATTATTTAAACGATTAAATAGGTAACAGTAAAAATAATATTTTATAAAAGAAAATAGCTTCTTAAATCGAAAAAATTTGAATGTTATTTTTTTACATTTTCCGTATTTTTATCAATAACAAAGATAAACATCGATAAAAGAATGCAAGTTTTTAACTGACCCAAAAAAAAAATCTAGAGCGAAAAAAACAGCTTGGTGCTCGCTGCGGGTGGGAATCGCGCCGCGACCGCTCCACCTAAACTGGGTAGTAATTTTAAAAAGATGCATTTTATATTTTTCACGTCTTCTGTCACCTTATATGTGTCATTTGTCAATTGTCACCTGTCAACTTGACATCGGTCATTTGTCTTCTTTCACATGTCACATACCATTTGTCATCTGTCAACTTGACATATGTCACCTGTTCACTTGACACCTCAAAGTGTTGTTGGATACTTTGTTGTAAGGTCCACCTTATAAATGAATTTTATTAATTATATTCTTTTGTTTGAGAAATTTATGCAAAAGCTGGCAACACCGCAATTAAATTTGGCAACGCCGCATTTTTACCTAATATTTTTGCATCCCCCTGTAATCGGTTTGATTTTGGGGATTTTAATTGGTTAACTTTTTTAAATACCCAGCAAAAATTAAACGGGCTTTCGGCCGATTACTTTTTATTCGATAAAGCTCATCTTTTAGTATGTCAAACTTTGTGTTTTCGTTCGGCCAATTTCGAAAATTTCTCTCGCAATACAAAACGAGTAAAAAAATTTTTGAAAAAAAATTCGCAACTCGAAAAGTTTCCGGCGGATCCGGCCTGTTTGCAATACGAAACGAATTACCGCCCGAAAGCACCGTTTTCCTCGTTCGAAAGTTCAACGGAACGTGCCAAATTTTACGGAAAAATGGAAAAAAGTGGATCTAGGCCTCTCGACGCCGGAAAAATTTGGTCCACCGATAGGTATCATGGGCACAAAAAAAGATATAAATTTCAAGTGTCCACCTTCAACGGCCTCCGAGCTACGGCGGTTTAAAAGAAAGCGACTAACACAACAGAAAAAATAAAAAAAATAAAATTCGATTACGAGTTGATACCTTTGAAGTTGTCATAGCTTTCCTTGAGAATTTCGTTTTGACTTCAAATTTAACCTTGAATAACTTTTGATGGAGTGAATTTACCCAAAAAGGTTAGGAGACTTTTTGTAGAGAATTTGATTTCCCATAAGAATATCTATCGGTTTTTTCCGGGTACTGATTTTTACATGAATTACAAAAAATATTCTTAAGTCAATTTTGTTAAACTCAATGGTTTGGGAGTTCTGAAACAAAAACTTGCTCAGGAAAAAAAAAATCTAAAATTGCGATGATGGACCTGTTAATATTAATATTATGGACTCGAACTTTCACCATAATTTTTTTTTCTCACCCCAAACAATATTTTCGATATACTTTACAAAAAAAATAGTCGATTTTTTTGGCCCAGTCTAGTAGTATACAGTTTTTCTGTAATTCTTTTTATCATTTATCAAATCATAAAACTTGTACAAATTAACATTTTATGTACATACATTCATGTTTTATTATTAATTACTACTAGTAAAACACCATTTTTTATTTTTCAAGAAACACTAATTTAAACTTTGGAAGCTAAATGTGATAAATTTCTTGATCATTTTACATGTTCTATTATTAATGTTGTAATAATAAAAGATTAATAAAGACCTTTTAAAATTTATGTTATTTATTTTAATTTATATTACTACATTCTATTTTGATCAATTTGATAATACTTTTAAAAAAATTATTTTATTTTTAAACAATTTTGATATAATTGTAATGACATGGGTTTAAAAAAAACTTTTATCCAAAAGATTTATAAAAAATATAACATTTATTTTTCCCTTAACCAAAACATTAATAATATTCATAGATTAGATTTTGTTTTTTTTATAAGTCTTAATTTTTCTTCAACACGATTTGCAAGGTTTGCATCAACTTCTTTAAGATTTTTAACCATCCTTTCTTGAATAAAGTCGACAGCTCCGGAAATAGAAGCAGAAATGTTCTCAATAAGTCTATTTTGTTCTTCTTTATTCAATGTTTTTTGAAAGAAAACTCTAGCTTGCGAGAAATTATCTTGATCTGCAGTATCATATTTCAAAGCTTCGCCAGAAACAGTAACTGGAGGAGCAAGAGCTTTAGCTCTTGGACAGCTGTCTGGGCCTCCAAAACTGTTAGGATGATAATTTGGTGCACCTCCTTGGTTGTTCATACACAAAGCACCGTCTCTTTGGAAATTTCTAACCTTGAAGGGACAATTTACTGGAAGTTGCAAATAATTTGGTCCCAGACGATGTCTGTGAGTGTCACCGTAAGAAAAGATACGGCCCAATAACATCTTATCTGGCGATGGTTCGATTCCGGGAACCAAATGGGCCGGACTGAATGCAATTTGCTCGACTTCAGCAAAGTAGTTTTCGGCATTGCGGTTCAGACATAATTTACCGACAGGAATAAGAGGATAGTCACAATGGGGCCAAACTTTGGTCAAGTCGAATGGATTAAATTTGCATGCTCCGGCTTGTTCAGGTGTCATTACTTGGATATACATAGTCCAAGTGGGTGTTTTACCAGCATAAATGGCGTTATACAAATCTCTGATGGAATAATCTGGATCGGTACCAGAAAGTTCTTCGGCTTTCTTTGCATCCAAATTCTTAATGCCCTGATCGGTTTTGTAGTGGAATTTGCAGAAAACCGGTTTGCCTTCATTATTGACAAGTTTAAACGTGTGCGATCCATAACCATTCATATGTCTGTAGCCATCTGGAATACCTCTGTCACTAAACAAAAAAAGAACTTGATGCATACTTTCTGTCCTCAAAGAAATAAAATCCCAAAACATGTCGGCATCTTTAAGGTGAGTCTTAGGATTTCTCTTCTGTGTATGAATGAAGTTAGGAAATAGAATAGGATCACGGATAAAGAAAATGGGAGTATTATTCCCAACTAAATCCCAAATACCATCCTCAGTATAAAATTTTACAGCAAAACCACGTGGATCTCTTACGGTATCGGCCGATCCAGATTCGCCTCCGACAGTGGAGAATCTTACTGCAATTGGAGTTTTCTTTCCAATGTTAGAAAAAACTTTTGCGGCGCTGTATTTTGTGATGTCGTGCGTAATTTCGAAATAACCGAACGCGCCTGCTCCCTTGGCGTGAACTACTCGCTCGGGGATTCTTTCCCTGTCAAAATGTGCGAGTTCTTCGATCAAGGCAACATCGTGTAACAGGATTGGTCCACGGGGTCCAACCGTAAGGGAGCCGTCTTTCTCGGCTAATGGTGCTCCGTAGGCGGCTGTTGCAGGAGAATCATCCTGTAAAAAACATAGTTTTTTTAATAAAGTTATTTATTTTTTAATTCCGGTACCACTCATACATTGACTAGTTTAAATATTATTTGAATATTTTAAAATAATAAACTGCGCATCACTCAATGTGTCGCGACCAAAAAGTTCGTTCTTTTTCAAAACGACATAACTTTTTTGTTTCTTGAACTATTTTATTTTGGTCTGTGTTGTCTGCTCCAACTCACGGTTCTTCAAGTAAATTTCCTACAGGGTGATATGTTAAACGGTTAAAAATTTCAATAACTTCATCCAAGCCCCGTTTGTAAAAAAATAATTTTTTTCTCGTTTTTACTTTGAAATAATGAAGTATTATGCCTTACCTTGAAACGTTTTTTCCAAAAGAGTACATTTAAGGCTTGTTTTGTAGGCAATACACTCAGTCTTTTTAGGAACAAGAAAATAAGATGGTGAAAGAATGTTCCCTAAATAATTCTGAACAAGCGACAAGCAACAAACTTCCATTATTTTCAGAGGGCCTAAGCAAAGATCACTTTTTCAAAATAACATTTTGGTGAAATTTTGAGAAAACTAAACCTAAACCGATATTTACGTTCGTGACAGGTTTTCTTTATAATTTTGATCTCCTGATTGTAATTCAGTTGTCAAATTTAAGTTTCAGATTAAACCTAAATCACCAAGAATCAAAATTCAAAAACAATTCCCGGCTGTTAAATGTCTTAATAAAATCGTATTGCTGGCGTGTTTCTTGCATATTTATGATTAAAATACCATTTGCAGATTCATTTTTTGGGCGAAATTAATGCAATTTGTTTGAGTGGTTAGGATAATGTTACATTTAACTTACATTTACATTGCGCACTAGTGATAACTTATCACTGATAAGTACCTACCTAGTAGGTAGTACCTACCTAATTGGTAATAAAGTTAAATAAAAATATGTTTGTTCATTTTGGACAATTTTATGCGAAGATATAATCATAATCAAAACTACAACTTTCAACAGAAAAATGTAACCTACAATAACACGAACGTATATATCGGTTCAGGTTTAGTTTTCGCAAATTTTCACCAAAATGTCATTTTGAAAAAGTGGTATTTACTTAGGCCCCTCTGAAAATAATGGAAGTTTGTTGCTTGTCACTTGTTCAAAACTATTCAAGGAACAATCTTTCACCATTTTATCTTCTTGTTCTTAAAAAGACTGAGTATATTGCCTACCAAAAACCCCTAAATGTACTCTTTTGAAAAAAAATCATATTTTCGTTGCTAAGATTCCAATTCGAAAAATTTGAAAACCCTTTCAAGGTAAGACATAATACCTCATTATTTCAAAGTAAAAACGAGAAAAAATATTTCTTTTTTCGAACAGGGCTTGTATGAAGTTATTGAAATTTTTCACCGTTTTACATATCACCCTGTACGAAATTTACTTGAAGAACCGTGAGCTTTATATCTATAGCATGAATTGCCAGAGGATGGGGCTAGCAGACATCAGAGACCAAAATATAATCGTTTAAGAAACAAAAAAGTTATGTCGTTTTGAAAAAGGACGAACTTTTTGGTCGCGACACATTGAGTGGTGCGCAGTTTAGTATATTATTATACGAGGCTATTATTCATAAGGATGAGGTTTACGTCTCGAGTCCGAGTGAATAATGCGCATAATATCGTCCTAAATAATCATTGGAGTAGACAAAGTATCACGGTTCGTCCAAATAACACTTATGTTTGAAAAAATTGTCCAAGTTTGAGCTTTATCTAGGGTGATTTCTATTATACTGCCTTGCTTAATGAAAACGCAACAATTTTGCGATTTTTGTTTTACGGCATTTTCTACTAGAATAATTCATCCTGCATCTATCCCCGGTACTCAAAAAACCGTATATATATATAGATTTTTTGAGTACCGGGGATAGACGCAGGATGAATTGTTCTAATAGAAAATGCCGTAAAACAAAAATCGCAAAATTGTTGGTTACGGCGTTTTCATTAAGCACGGCAGTATAATACTCTGTCAATTTTTGCTTGAATCAAAATTTTTCGCCGATTAGTTTTTTATCAAAAAATTTTTTGTAATTGAAAATATTTTTTGTTGTAAATTATACGTTTAAAAATAGTTAGAAATAGTTTGTTAAAGTAGACCTTTCTTCACTAAATCCGTGTTGTTCATCATCTAAAATATTTTTAAACAGAGGGGTTATATTTGCTGTAATAATTTTCTCCATTATTTTGAAAATTTGTGAAATTTTTGATATTGGTCTATAGTGCGCAATATCACTTGTCACTATTTTTAAATAATGGAATCACTTATCAGGAAACTCACAATTAGTTAACGTTAACGTTAACTTAACGATAAATTAAACAGTTTTGTTAAAGGCTTGACTAAGGAAAATCTACAATTTTTTAAAACTAAAGGAGGAACACCATCATGTCCCGTACCCTCAAATTTCTGTGTCAAGCCCAAAGTCTATATTGGGCAAACAAAAAAATTTTTTAGGATATCAATTTTTGCATTTACCATTAAATTTTGTTTATAATTTAATAAATAATATATGTATACATAACTTTTTATGTACCGGCAAATTTTAAAATTTAATCTAGTTTTATACATTTACCGTTCTTTAAAATCTTTTAAAAGGTTTCTATTTTAAAATAAAAGCAAGTCATTTGAAATACTAGCTATTTTCGCGGAGCTAATCCCGAACTAATTTCGGACATCCTAGGCATGCGCTTTTTAAAATTTGGGGTTAAAAAGTGCGCATGCCTAGGATGTCCGAACTAGTTCGGGATTAGCACCGCGAAAACACCTAATTGTAACGCTAATAACTATTTCTATTTTGCTAATAATATAACCTATGATAATAACACGCAAAGCAGCTACGCCCCTGGTAAGACTCATCAAGCTTACAGTAAGCATATTACCCTTGACTACTAAGTACTATATGCTCCACACCAAAAAATTATTTTTTAACTAGGCGATATTTGCCATGCATGGGTATGCTTAACATTTTTCATTTGTTATTATTAAAGACCGGACTAAATATCAATGCATTTTTGATGGGTTTGTTGGTTTATTTCCCATTAAAGTAGCTAACAATATTTTTACCATCTTTTGTTAAATTATGTTTTTCGTTCGATAAAATATTTTTGTAAGAGGAAAAAGGACATTGGCGCTATTGCTTTGACCATGGTCACATATCGCAGAAAGTTGGCACAAGTTAAACTTTTGTGTTTTATATTATCGTGGATTCTTGCATCAGCCAATCATATGGCGCTAGTATCTGTCTCCCTGCTCTCTTTCTTTTTAATAATTAAAAATTTCCAAAATTTCCCAATTATTTTTTTAGTGATATTTTGAAATTCGATCCTCCCACCCCCAAATTTTGTAATAGTACAAGAGAAAAAAAATCACACAAAATTTTGGATCGTAAACTCAACCCCTTCCCGTGCCTGTAAGGATTGAATTTCGACAAAATCCTTAATTTTTAGGGTTTTTGGCATTAACTTCTCAAAAATCGCGCATTACAAAAAATTTTACAAAATAAAATTTGTTCATCTATTAACTATTAGGTTGTTTCGTAGAAAACTGCATAAATGCACAATTATCACAAAAATACATTTAAGTAACTTTCGCTTGTTTTTTAAAAATATCTTATTTGTTATGTGATTTAGCATAATAATGCATCTTGGGTCAATTTTAAGATTTGACTTAACAGTGGATTCCCGCAGAAGTATTTTTGACGTCGCACATAGGGGTATTAGTACTAAAAAGTTGTCCAAAATTATTTTTCGAGTTTAAAATCGTATAACATGCTATAATATAGCATCTTATGTCATTTATGACATGCATTTTGTAATTTATGTAAAAATATAAAGGGTATTGTGTCAAAAAAACTCACTCTGTATAATAAAATAAACTTATACATACAAACTTGCAGATTAGTTTATTATAAAGAGATTAATACTATACACTTAAGATTAAAAATAACAATATTTAGTTGGTTATTTTTAATTAATAAAAATTAACACTTTATTCAGAAGGTTTTATATCTTTTCTTATTACATAAATTAACAAAATTTACCCAAAAAAGTAAGTAGAATCCAAAAAATAAAAAAAAATCAGGGTGTTTATTAAAAATTGTCCCAGGAAAAACAGAATACCCTGTATAAGTGAAAATATAATACTTAAAAAAAATTATATAATTTTATGAATTTTTGCTCCCTAATTTTTTTTTAATTTCAGTAGTTTTTGACACAATAAGATTTTATACCATTTTAAATTTTTAATATAAAACCTAAATATTTAAAATGATATAAATCGTATGATTTGGATTTTTAAATAAAATTTGAAATTTTTCGATAAACTATATATGGTAAATATTATATAAACCATATATGGTAAATATTGAGGGCGCCATGGGGCCAGTACGGCCGAGCAAAAAGTTATCTTTTTTTCGCAAACTTCAATTTAAATTCTGCTTGCGCAGAACTTGTTTATTTAATCTTATTATAAACTCATATAAATTCAAAATGATGCATTCTAGGATAAAATCTCAAGGGACAATTTTTATAGACCTTTAATAGACGAAAAGATTGTAATAAGTACAATTTTTTAAATATGCGACTTTTGCGGAGTAAATAGCAAAAACCTTAAAAATTAGGGATTTTGTCGAAATTCAACCCCTTACAGGCACGTGAAGGGGTTGAGTTAGCCATTCAAATTTTTGTGTAATTTTTTTTTCTTGTGCTATTACAAAATGGGGGGTGGGACAATTTGATATTAAAATTATCTTTCACCTCTATAGCTAAGGACCACCCTAATATATATATATATTATATGTATTAGTGGTTTTCGGGATCTGCACCGTGTTGATTATTAAAAGAACCGTATCGTCTGACGAAGTTTCGGTACAATCTCATCAGGTCTTATCTGCTGGGCTGCTGTTTCTGCTCTTACAACCACCAAAACGCCACGCAGATTAACGAGATCAATGGAGCTGAACATA